TACCAACTTTAATTGGTTTATTAATTGAAGGTAAAACATTCAGAATTAATTCACTTTTTGATTTTGATAACCCAATTCGGGATTTTTGTTGACTAGTTTTTTCTAAGAAATGTTTAGCTGATTTTTTCTCATATAATTTTGTTTTACAACACCATTCAATTGGAACAAAGAAATAATAATAATCTTCACTCAATATTACAACTTCCTCTCCATGTTCTGTAAATTGAATAAAAACTCTTTTATAATTATTGATTTGATTATCTATTATTACTTCTTGTACTTTATATGATGGTGAATATTGTTCATAAAGATACATATATAATTTATATCGTTTTTTATTATTATTAATTCTTTCTTTTCTAATTGTTGCAATTATAAATCTTCCTTCTTCCTTAAAATATTGTGAATTTGTGTATTTAATAGTTTCTATCCATTATTTATGTTTTATTTTTCACAAAATATTCTTCTCAAACGTATCAATTTGTCCTTTCGATATTGTGATGGGACATTGTCACTTTTTAATAATAATTCGGTTTCAAAAATATGTGGATCAATCTCCATAACTTATTAACCACAATGAAATTCTTTTATTAGTTCTTTCCTTTAAATATTTCCAATCTTTATATTCTTTCTTTTCTAAAAGTTAAGATTAATACTGAAAATCAAAAACCAAAAACACAAAATACTTTTAGATAAAAAAAAAATTAAATCCTTCAGTTAATTTAATAAGGAAGAAACTTGAAAAAATGAAAATTCACTAAAAAAAAAAGAAGAAAGAAAGAAAACAAAATAAATATGAATGAAGAAAAGACACCACTAATATCAAAACCAATCCATAATAAACTAAGAAAGATTGTTATTAGTGCTGTAAATTGTTATAATGAGAATTATCATAATTTAATATCTAATAAAGTAAAAACATCAAAATATAATCTTTTCACATTTCTTCCATTAGTTTTATTAGAACAATTTAGAAAATTAGCTAACGTTTATTTCCTTATAATTTCAATCTTTCAAGTTATTCCAGGATTGTCTCCAACTGGAAGATTTACTACATTGCTTCCTTTATGTATTGTTATTATTGTTTCTATGATTAAAGAATTTTATGAAGATATTAAACGTCATAAAGATGATAAGACAATTAATACAAAAAGAGTTCAATGTTGGAAGAATGAAGAATGGAAACAAATTCAATGGAAAGATATTAAAGTAGGAGATATTCTTCTTATTAAAAGAAAAGAGGCAATTCCTGCAGACATTATTCTTCTTTCTTCTTCAGAACCAAATGGAAGTTGTTATGTTGAAACAAGTCAATTAGATGGAGAAACAACATTAAAGATTAAAGAGAGTTTAACAAGTACACGAGTATATCAAATTGGAATGAATCATAATGAAAAACATGAAATTGAAGTTGATGAACCTAATCCTGATTTATTTTCTTTTAAAGGAAAAATAATTGGAAAGAAACAAGAAGCTATTGGAATAGATCAATTAGTATTACGAGGAAGTATTATTGAAGACACTGAATGGATAATTGGTGTAGCTGTATATATTGGTAATGAAACTAAACAATTACAAAACGCAAAAGGAATTAAGATTAAAAGAAGTTCAATTGAAAGAACAAGTAATGTTTTTGTTATTGGGATGTTTATTTTAGAATTAACTTTTGCATTAATTTCAACGATAATGGGAACTATTTGGAGAGTAAATAATAAATATTATTGGTATTTAGAAACTCAAGAAAAAGTAATTCCTAATTATATTACTACATTTATTACATTTGTTATTTTATATAATAATCTTGTTCCAATTTCATTATATATTTCATTAGAAATTGTAAGAATAGGACAAGCTTATTTTATTAATCATGACCTTGATATGGTTCATAAAGGTAAATTTGCTGAAGTACGTACATCAAATCTAAATGAACAATTAGGATTAGTTGATTATATTTTTGCGGATAAAACTGGAACATTAACACAAAATTTAATGGAATTTAAAACTTGTTTTGTTGATGGAGTTGTCTATGGCTCAAAAAATAATGAACCTCCATTAATCAAAAACACATCATCTTTAAGTTTTGGTGATGAATCACATATAGATAATTCGAGTTGTGAAATACAAGAATTTGATGATCGGAAATATGTTAATTTCAATCCAACTCAAATAAAAAATGATGCAAAATATAGTAAACATGTCAATGACTTTTTAAGAACTCTTGCACTTTGTAATACAGTCACAATCAATACTCACACTATTCATATAACCTATCAAGCATCAAGTAATGATGAAGCTGCATTAGTTCATGCTGCATCTTGTTGTGGATTTGAATTATGTGAAAGAACTAATGACAAAATGGTAATTAACAACCAAATAACAAATGAAAAAGAAGAATATAAATTACTTCATATTATTCCATTTGATTCAGATAGAAAAAGAATGAGTGTAATTGTAGAAAGAAATGGTTGTATTATGCTTTATATCAAAGGAGCAGACACTACAGTATTACCTCGAACCAAAACAAATCAACAAGAAATGGAACAAATTTCAAATCAAATAGACTCATTTGCACTTGAAGGGTATAGAGTTCTTGTTGCTGGAGTGAGAAACATTACTAATATCTATGAAAAATGGAAAATAATGTGGGAAGATGCTATTAATAATGTTAAAGAACGAGAAGAACTTATTATAAAAGCTTCTCAAAGTATTGAACAAGAAATAGAAATTGTTGGAATTAGTGGAATTGAAGATAAATTACAGTCTGGTGTCACTGAAGCTATTGAAAAATTAAAAGAAGCAGGGATTAAAGTATGGGTATTAACAGGAGATAAAAAAGAAACAGCATTTAATATTGCAAAATCATGTAATTTATTTAAAGAAGATGTTTTCACTATTAATGGAATGACATTGAATGAAGTTAAAGAACAAGTTAAACAATCAATTTGTTTAAATGAAAGAAATTATATTATTGATGGAAGATGTATTGAATTAATTGTACAATTAGAAAAAAATATATTAAAAGAAATGTTAATGAATGCAGAGGCTGTTGTATGTTGTAGGTGTGCTCCATCACAAAAAGCAAAAATTGTAGAAGAAGTTAAAAGATTTGGAGGAACAACATTAAGTATTGGAGATGGTGCAAATGATTGTTCAATGATTAGAGCAGCACATGTTGGAATAGGAATATCTGGAAAAGAAGGATTACATGCTGTTCGATCATCTGATTATGCAATATCACAATTTCGTTTTCTTGTTAAATTACTTTTAGTACATGGACGTTACAATTACAGAAGATTATCATATGTTATTTTGTATTCATTTTATAAAAATATTGTTATGTACCTCACACAATTCTCATTTCTGTTCTTTAATGGATATTCTGGAACTTCATTATTTGAAAATTGGACACTCTCTATCTATAATGTATTGTTTACATTATTGCCTATTATTGTTTTTGGTATTTTTGATCGTGATATATTACCAGAAACATTAATCATGAAACCACATCTTTATAAATCCATTAAATCATTATTTAGTTACAAAACATTATTATTATGGGTCATAGAAGCATTAATAGTTTCTACAATGGTATTTTTTATTCCTTTTTCAGTATGTATAACTGAAAATAATACAATGAATGGATTAGGATTTGGTATGTATGGATTTGGTTATATTGTTTATACAATTGTTATGTTAACAGTTACCCTCAAAGTAATATTGTTTTCACATGAATTTAACTTTATCCAATATATAGCTTATGGTGGTAGTTTAATATTTTATTTTGGATGGGGATTTGTGTATGGTTTAATTACATGGATTCCTCCATTTACTATTGGATGGGATATGTTTGGTTTAATTTATCAATTAATATTAACTCCTTCTTTCTATCTTCTTATCTTACTTCCACCTTTGTTACTTGGTGCAAAAGAAATGGTAGTATTATTTGTGAAGACTGTAGTTAAGAAAGATGAGAAACGAATGAGTGAAGAAGCGGATGATAAATTCAGAAAAACCAAAAAACGATTTAATGATGTACCAAAAAATGACAAAGAACTTTTCTTAATTGCAACTTCAACCCATTTTGTTCAATGAACATCTCTTAATAAAAGAAATAACTGAATTATTTGTTTTCATTTCTGTGGTTGAGATGATAAAATTGTATCTTTAATAATGAGTTATCACACCCAAAATGAAAAGACAAATATATATAAAGAGATGATAATTAAAAAAATAATGTTGCGAATTGATGATTTGGCATTTTAAACAATTAAACCAATTCACACAAGAAGAAGTAGACCAAGTTTATACAATTAGAAAAGAAGTTTTTTCTGAAGGTGGAGAAAAAAATCTTGGACATCCACCTATGGACGAAAGTGATCAATATTGCTATCATTCATTTGGTTGGGATGAAAATGGTATTGTTTGTTATTGTCGTGTTATTCAAGAAGAACAAGGAATATATAAAATTGCACGTGTTCTTGTCCATCAAAACCACAGAAGAAAAGGAATGGGACAAAAACTGATTAATTATACTTGCGATCAAATAAAGAATTTGTTTGATGGTAAAAAAGTGATTCTTTCAGCATTAGAAGATATTCATACAATGTATTTGAAAATAGGATTTAATAAAACTGGATCTTTCTGTGATTTCAATGGAATTCCTGCAATAGACATGCAAAGAGAACTTTAAATTGATTTCTTTCTTTTATAAAACGAATTAAATTTAAAAGATGTAAAGAATGAAAAATTATAACATAGTAAATAGTTGATTCTAAATAGTCTATATATTTCTTACAAATTAAATGTTTAATAAACCTTTAAGAAGAAATAGAGAAATTAACTAGATAAAAGATTTTGTTTATTTCAAGAATTTAGTGTTATTTAATTATTAAAAATAAGATGATCTATGAAGAAATGAAATGAAACCTAATGAATGAAATAAATCAATCAATCACTTATCTTTCACCTTGAATTTATGATGGTTTCTGTTTTAATTAATATTAATCATTTTGCTTAAGAGCCATAGCCCGTTGATATAATTTGACGTGCATGAAATAACCATGCATATAAGGTCGTAAATATTCAGAACCAATGAATGAATCCATTCCAAGATCATGTAATTCTTGTTTAGTAACAAAATGAAAATCATCATAAACTGCAGTTGGCTCATCTTCTAATTCTTCTGTTAAATTTTCCAAGAAACTACACCATGAAGGTGCAATTCCTAATGAAGGAATATAATATATCTGTAATTTAGAGAAATCACCTGCAAGAACACATAATCCAGAGTCTTTTGCAATAGCAACATCAGTAATAACAGACCTTCTATTAGCTTCAAGTGGAACAACTAATTTACCATTAGATTTATTAGAGAAACGAACAATATTTGCATCAGCAGTAACTAAGAATTCACCATTTTGTGTTGTATGATATAATGTTTTAACAATAGGAATTCTATTTTGATGATAACTAGATAAAATTGGTTTTGAAGAACGTAAGTCATAAGTAAGAACATTACCATTAGATGTTCCTACTGTCATTTGAAGATTCCCATCATATGCAATTGAAGTTACATCAATTGATGTTAATGTTTTACCATTTACATCCAATTTATTCACAACTCCTGAATTAACATCTAATACACTAACTTCTTCTTCTGTCATTGGATCTATGACACTAACAACTCCACCCTCACATCCACAAAATAATAATTGATATTTTTCTGATATGTCAAGACAATTAACAACATAATTCATTGGAATTGATTCATAAAATTTACCTTCATATAAATTGATAATATCTAAATTATTTGGAGTAGCAATATATGTATTACAATTACTTGGTAAATACTTAAAATCTCTTCCTGTTTTTGGAACTTTAATTTTACATTGAACTCCTCCTTTATTATGAAATTCAATTGTTTTATCAGTTAATAAAAACATTAATTTTGAATAGTCTTCCTCAAGAAACTACACCAATTAATTATAAATTTTATTTTTT